TTTAGGAGTCACATTTTCTTTTAGTTTTTAATTATTTTTGGAATCTCCTACTTTTTCTCTTTCTTTCCTTTTACTTTTCCCTTTCTTGTACAAGTTGATTATCTTATATCTAAACTCCTTAGAAATCTCATGTAAAATGAATACGGTGTACTTAATGGCCATTTTCACTGGAAGTTTAACTAATGAAGGGTGGTCTCTGACTTTTGTACAGTACTGTAAGTACATTAAAAATATGAGTCACAATTCCCATATCAGTCCATTGCTAAGCTTTGCAGGGTGAGGGGGGGATTGTTTCCACAATGGGAGTCGAGTACCTGTGGCAGGGTTTTGTATTGGGTGCATACAGAGGCACAATAATGCCCTTTGCTGACATCAGCCCTCAGTTTGTTTACAGGCTGCTGCACTTTTCCTGTAAGTGTTTATATGTTAGTAGGAGTGCTGTGGAGAGCCCAGAGCGCAATGAAGGAAAATGTGTCCGTTCAGCATGTCGTCAACTTCTGTCCCTTAGTCAGAACTCGGTGTTCTGATTGTTAATCTAACGATGACGGTCGCCTCTTTATCTCCACCTCTGACCTTCACTCAGAGTCTTCCTCAGGCAAAACCCCCCTCTCACTCTTTCTCTTTGTCTCTCTCTCTCTCTCTTCTCTCTGTCTCTCTCTCTCTCTCTTCTCTCTCTCTCTCTGTCTCTCTCTCTCTCATCACTCACTCACTCACTCACTCACACACTCTCCCTCTCTTTTTATCAGTTTTTTTCTTTCTTTTCTCTTTCTTGTTCTCCCTCTCTCTCTCTCTCTTCATCTCCCTTTCACTCACTCTCTATTTTTCTCTCTCTATATTTCACTTTCAGTATCTCTCTTCTCTCACTATCACTCTCTTTTCTTTTTCTGTACTGTTTCTCTTTCTGTCTCCATCATGTTCACTCTCTCTTTAATTTTTGTTTCTTGTTTGTCTTCTCTTTCTTTTTCTCATACTATGAGTGTTTTTTTCTTTCTCCATCTCACCTTCTCTGTTCTTTTTTCTCTCTTATTTGTCTGTCTCACTCTGTTTTCCCTCTTCTCTCTTTTTTTCTGTCCTATCTTGTTGCTCTCTCCTTTTGACTTCTTTTTTCTTTTTCCTTCCTCTCTCTTTCCACATCTATCTCAGTCACTCTTTTTTTCTTGCTATTTCTCCCTTTCTTCTTTTCTCTCGCTCTCATTTCTCTTCCTCTCCCTCCCTCCCTCTCTCTGTCTCTACTATATAAGTACAGTGACCTGCCCTGATTTTTTTTAAGGACTTTTTTGCATGTGGGTGTGTTACACTGCACTCTGCCACAAACACCTGCAGCTCCTTTTCCTCATTGCTGTTACAAAAGCCTGTTCTGTTTTAATGAGAAAGCCACTGAGCTCTGAAGTGCTGCTAAGACTCATCAGTGTGGCTTCACCCACAGCAAAGCCGCTGTACAAAAACAGGCCAGGTGAGTGTTTTCCCAAGAGCCCTCGTTAGTCTCTGTTATTACTGGCTCTCTGCACCCACCTGGGATCTGGCTGTAAAAGTCCCTCCCTGCATTCACACAGGATGAGGGCTGTGGAGGTCAGTCAACAAAAACAATAAGAGTAATAATCTTTATTTATATGTTTATCATTTCAGTTACAAAACTGAAAATGCTTTACACAGGTTTATATGAAAAATATATGGCCTTACAATTAATTACAAGCTTTAGAACAAAAAGTAAAAGAGACCCAGTGTACGAGAAATAAGCCCACCTGACTAAATGCGTTTTCAATCTGCATTTCAAAACCTGTCAAGCTTGCAATACGCCGTTATCTGGGCATAATGATGCTTCCAAAGATAAGATGGTCATTAAATGTCCTCCATTAACAGAGAGGTATGTTTGTGAGAGGAAAAGCCTTCCCAAAAGCTTCTGTCTGTGTTTGCTTTCAGTTTACAGTATGTGTGTCAGGGCTTAGATCAGTGGGGCATGACTTTGTTTGTCCCATTTAAGATCCGGTCATTTAAGTGGGTGAGGATCGGTGTTTATTATTGATGAGGACCCTTATCATTCTCCCACAGCAGACATGAGCTTGTTTGAACCCATACAGTACTGTATAAAAGTTTTGAGAAAATTAGATGTAACACTTTTTATGTGGGTTATCTGTTTATTTGTTTAAGAAACACTGATATTAGAATAAATTCAAATAAACAATGCATTATTATAATATATAATATAATATAATATGTCTATCCGTGTGTTAGCATAACCATTTGCAAACATTTCCTCAAAGATACTCCATATTTACAGTTACCATCCAATGCTTAGTTTGTCTAATTAATCCTTCATTAAATCAAATCAGTTATGCTACTGATGGAATTTAACAAATCTTTTCGATGGCTGGAGTTCAGTGAGCGGTCAGGAACCAAACCTGTGTTCTTCTAACCAGGAGACTAAAGAGATATTATTCTTATGTTATATAGTATTTTTACAGACATAAACACACTTCCCTGCTTAGTTATGGCTGCCTTGACCTTTTGCTCTGTACTGTATATGAACAGGCTTTAACAGTTAAAATACTGTTGCTCAGGGCTCCACATAGGCTCCGCCCTCCTGTGAGGTGGTCACTTGGGGCCGAGTTCAGTAAGCAGGTTCCGTCCCTGCTGAATGCTATAGTAACTCCAGCAGACAGACCAGCACGGCTCCTGCTGTCATAGCAACACACACTGACACTGAGCCTCCCCGAGAACACAGGAGAACCGCTGCAGTGTAAAGCCCAGAGAACACCGACTCAGAGGTCTCCAACAAACACCAACAAACCCAAACATCCAGTTGGTGTTTTATACTTAGGTGTGATTATTGGGAGACTCTAGAATGTTCTCCTCCATTCACACTGGTCTAGAACAGTTTCTCCCCATTCAAACTGTTCTAGAACGTTCTTCCTTTCAATCACATTGTTCTACGATGCTGACTTCCATTCAAACTGTTCTAGAATGTTCTCCCCCAGTTCACACTGTTATAGAACGTTCTGCCTTTCATTCCCATTGTTCTTGAATGCCCTTCCCATTTGTACTGTTCTAGAATGTTCTCACTGGTCACACCATTCTAGAATGTTCTTCTGTATTCACATTGGTCTAGAATGCTTGCCCGCCATGTACACTGTTCAGGAACAGTCTCCCCCATTTCTACCATTCTGGAATGTTCTCCTCCTTTTCACACTGGTTTAGAATGTTCTCCCCATTCACGTTGTTCTCAAATGTTCTCCCTCTTTTACACTGTTCTAAAATGTTCTTCACCAATCAAATTGTTCTAGAATTCTTGCATACCATTTATTTTATTCCAGAACGTTCTACCCCTTTAACACCGTTCTGTAATGTAATATTTTAGAATATTCTCCCAGATTGACGTGCTCTGCAGTGCTCTCCTGTGTTCCTTTGGTATGTCAGCAGTAAAAATGGTGTAAGGCTGACTGCCAACATCAGAATGTAGGTGTTTGTTGGAGAATGTTGCTTCAGTGTGTCATGGGTACTTATGGGTTCTTAACTGGTTTGAGTTCAGCAGATTTTGTTGGGCAATTACTGACGTAATAAACATGTGGTTTGTGTGGGTGAGATGGAGCAAGCATGTTGTGTCTTAAATGTCAAATGTTCACATTTTTCAGTTTGTGTAGTAAAATGAGGACACTCAGTTTCAGGTTCATTTTCTGCAGAAATTTCATCAGAATTCCTCAGAATTTTTAGCTGTTCATATGTACCATATAAACGCTGATCACACTCAAAAGTATGACAGCATATAAAGGAATACATTCACCAATCATGCTTAAGATTAGTGCTTAAGAATAGGATGGTCTTTTATACTTTCATTCCCAGTTACCCAGTTTAGCCATTTTGCATCATTTTTTCCTTTATAGAAATTTACTAAACCCACTGATTTCGGACAATGTTTAGTGTTAGTTAGACCATTCCTCATATATATATATATATATATATATATATATATATATATATATATATATATTTCTGTACAAGAGATTGTTCTACAGAAACATATTTCAGTGCATTATGGGATGTGTTAATGAAGGGAATACTCTATCTGAAGCAACTCCCCAGTGGCTTCTGTAATAAGTCTGTTTTGAGTTGGTTATGTTGTTATAATAAGAACTACATCAGAATTATTATCTGTGGTAATTGCCCATATGCTGCAGGTGCTGCAAATACTAGTGAACAGGTTGTTTGCGAACATGTTGAGCTGATTCGCCTTGAAAAAGTAGTTGTTTGTTTTGTAAATACAGAGAAAACAATTGGGTAGATCTTATGACACTGTAGCTCAAAAATCACAGGACCTCGAACACTGGAACATTCTGGCTCTGCCCCCTCATTATCCCCAGTTCCCGCTCCTTGTGTTAGTTTGTATAAGTTTGTTTCTGGGTTTGTTGGTGGTTTTCATGTAATTCTTAGCAGTGTTTCTGTGCCTCTGTAGTTCTTCTGATTTTTGACTTCACCTTGTTTTGTTCGTTGATGACTGGTTGATAGATTTGCCTGCATTTTGTGCAGTTGCATATCTTGTGATCCCTACCTCACAAAATAATTTCCAGTGGACTTTTCAACATCTGACTTATTTTTTTTTAAATAGCAAGTATAATGTAATCAGTAGAGTCTAAGCTTTTATTTAAAATTGAATAACATAATGTCGCTAATTACTGAATTAAGAGCCATTTTGCAGCCGAAAGAGCTCTTATTTGTGAGCTGAGCTGATTCATCTGACTCACTGAAAAGAGTTGGAATTCCCATCACTGGTCAGCACAGACCAGGGTGGAAAATGTTGGAGTATTCCTTTAAGTGTGGTACGGATTGTGTCATGTGATGTTTAAAAAAAATTACAGGAGCCTTGGTTTCAGTTTGTATCAGTCACCTTCATCTACACTGATCCAGTCAGGTCAGATTAAAGGCAAACACCGCTCAGTAGTGGCCGTTCTTTCTGACGCTCTAAAGCCACTGAATGTTGACCAAACTTTCCTCTCATCTCTTCTTAGGTGCCGACTAAGAAGCTGAAGAAGTTTGAGAAGGAGTACCAAACGCTTAGAGAGAGCCAGCTACAGCAGGAGGATCCCATAGACAGATATCAGGTAAGATAGATGTCTCAACCAGTGCTGTCCTTCCTCACGCACAGTCATCCTCATCTCCTGCCTCACCTCCATCTTATCGTCCTGTCCCAGTTCAAGACTGTGTAGAGATCTGCGGTGAACACAGCAGGCTGCACATGGCGTGCTCTCAAAGGAGAGAGAGAGAGAGTGAGAGAGAGACTCGTACTCAAGGTCTTAATGTTTTTGTGTTGTAAGGACACAGTGGACCAATTTGCCTTTTGGTGTGTAAGCCATCAGTGGGCTGTCAAGGCTTTTGCTTATTTTATTTAATTGTTAAAGTGATTTATTTTTACTAGAGGGCTTGTGAAATTACACTGACAGCTTTTGTTTTATTTAATTAATTTTGGTTATTTTAACTAACGTTTTGATTTGTTTTTCCTGAAGGAATGCTGATGTTTTTTCAAAAAATAAGCTAAAAGAAAGAAATATTTCCAAGAGCAGCTGACTGAATTCGTTCTGAGATATGTTTACATTTGTGTTACTACTATGAACTGAATTAGCCAATTTTTGTAAAATAGTTTAGCAAGTCAGTTTTATGAATTCCTAATTTTTATGTGTTGTGTTATATTTGAATAACATTGTCTTAGGTTTTGAAATGTTTTACAGTTTGTTTTTTTTTGACTGCTTTACCTTTTTAAATTCCATCATTTTATTTGTGTCACATAAGTGAATGCTTACATTACAAGTTTCATATTTTCCATCTGTGAGAATGTAATAAAAATCAGTTTTGTAGGAAATTCTTTGGCTGTAATGTAATCATAAACCAAGCAGATCTCTGTAACAATCAGGCGAGGCTTTTGACTTTGGGACGCAGGCTGAACTTTCCGTGGTTTCCGTGCCACGACTTCCTGTTTACCTCCTGCAACACTCACCCATTTAACCAATGAGCTTTGCTCACTTACCCTGATTTGCCCAATGGGCACTGCTCACTCACTCTACCTAACCAATGGTACGTTAGAGGGCGGCATGTGGGCGGAGAGGAAACCGTGGTGTTTTCTGCAGGATGAGGTGTGTTCTCTAGTGCTAGTGGCTATAGTGTGGTCACACTGATAGTCTACAGCGGTAGAAGGTAAGCCCTAAGTCCAGCTGTTGTCTCTGGCTACTAACAACGCTGCTTCTCTGCTCGCATCTGTTCTGTAATCTCGCTCACACGGCGGCTTCGATGCTCTCACAGTTTCTGCTACATCCATGTGACAGTAACCAGCAGCTGCTGTATAGGAAAGTAATTTAGCTTAAGGAGCAGGATGGAAATGGGAATCAGATGACCGTTTTTCCTCTTCCTGATTAGAAGAAGGTCCAGCAGTGTGTGTATCATGTGAGGGCACTTAGTGGGGAGGGTGGAGAACCTCGTCCTGTCCCACAAAGCCTCCTCTTTTCGGTCACATAGTGGAGATACTGAAACAAAGGGAGGGCCAGCTCAGAGGAGGAGCTGAAGTATGGTTTGACGATATGGCCAAAATCTAATATGACAGTACTTGAAGGCATTTTGACAATATATATCACAATGTTTAGTGTTTCTTTGGAATGGAGCAAATGCACCAGCAAAACAGCAATACTTTTTTTGGGGGGGGAAAATATATCTCTATAAGGCTGGATCAAAGTGGCTATTTCTACCATTTTATTCAATCTTGTCTTTAATAATGGGATTTCTTGGGGCTGTTGCATTTATTTTGATAGAGAATCTGATCTAATATGACTGAAAATTTTGTGGGTTTTTTTTTTCAGTTTTTGAACAAGAAAATGCACGAATAGGAACACGAGTCACACATCTGTCATGCTATATTGTTACTCTGGTTAATTCAACAATAAAGAAAGACTGGTGCATCTTTTATACAGTGATAGGACACAGCACCACACAGAAAGGTCTGGTTTTACATGCTAAAATGATTTTAAAATAATCTTTTTATGATTCACACTATTGCTCAGTGTCCTAAAAGTACTGATGATACAGTTGTATGAAAAAGGTTGGACGCCCTGGTCATTTTTTGTTATCTGTTGATTTTATTTTGTAAATTTTCCAAGTGAAAATAAGTTCACACATCTTCTACAGAGAACACACTTCTGAGGGGGTGAATAAAGTGCAAAATGTGGCCTGTGGAAAAGTTATGGCGTATCTTATGTTTAATTTTTCCAGAACTCAGCATATAACTACAAACTCTGCATAAATAGAAAATTTGCTGAAAAATGCCATATTTAAGTTTGTACCCTGTAGAGGATGTTAACTTATTTTCAAACAGAAAATCAACAGAACATGTAATTTGACCCAGGTGTTCAATCTTTTGCATACGACTGTACCTGATACACTCAGAAAAACATAATTTTTCACTTTAGTGACAAAATATTATCATATTTCATGCCCCTAAGATAAACACAGCCTCAGTTACTCAAGTCCAAATACTTATTTTAAGCTCTCAATACTGTCCTTTCCATAACAAAGCCCTAGATTTATCCAACATCTCAAAGTATGAGTGCTAACCACTGTTTCCTGTCTATACTGTAATATTCAAACTGATCCTACTTCAGCACTACACGCTGCTTTCAGTCTTGTCTGCTGCTGCTTGCGTTGGCATTATTGCACTTCCTTCAGTTCTCTGTATCGTATGGTGTACAGCATTCATAAATCTATTTACTTTGTAGTGCGATATTGGAAACTGAAGTGAGGTAGAAAAGCTAATAGCTGTGTGATGCATCTACAATGGGAGCTTTTAGTTTTCTCAGTGTTGTTCAGTTATGACATGTTGACGATCAGAGTGGCTCATACAGTTAGCAGTCTAGTCTTATGTGTTCTGTAGTTTGTTTTTCTGACAATATAGCTGACAGACAGCAGTAAATCAGTTAAATCTGCACTTACCAAGACATGTATATTTATTTAGTTATTGCCTGGTTTGCTGCTTTTGCAAAGCCAGTTCAGCAGCTTTGTGCAGCCAGTACTTCTGGTCATTCTTCAGCTATTTAAACCTGCTGGTTGACGTTCAAGCCTATTCTAGTGATCAAACACTGAAGCCAGAGAAAGTGTTTGCAAATGACAAACGAGTTGGTATTGCCCGGCATCTCAGCGAGGGCCCGACAGCCCATGCCATAGATTTCAATGAAAAAATACAAGAAAAAACTTGTGTTTCATTTATGCAGTGAAGTAAAATTATTATGAATATATTATGAATTTTTAAAAGTTGCCACATCAGGTTCTAAATCACATCTTAAAGGTTGAGTTACTCTGCCAGAATGACTAATAACATAAGCTGATGTTTTAACCAGATATAAATACTAAGAAGGCTAAGAACAATTTTTCATATTAATTAACATATTAATAAATTCCCACATCTTATTTTTTGTGTACTTTTTATGTGAAATCATTGTTTATTTTGCAAGATTTCGTTTTATGTATGTGTTCTACATTTTTATCAGTTCTGTGAAGGATTCATTAATCCATGCAGTATTTAAGCTATGCAGTTCAGTTCCAAATGACTTAGTTTCAAATAAAAATATCCATTTTTTAAAAATCATTAAATTCATTTAGAAAAAACACATTTGGAGAAGATTTGTAGCACAAATTTTCCATGGGTACAGAAATTAAACAGAAATTTTTACTTACATTTTTTCATAGAAATCTATCAAGTGACATGTCTGGGTAAGTTGCAGCAGGATGACCCAAATGAAAGCTTGCAGAAGTGAGTGTCTTCTCATGGGTTCACTCCTGCGCTGAGGCCGCTAATACCTCAGTGGTAACCGTGAACGTGTGCAGTAAACCTGCACGTCGATGTGTTTATCTGAGAGTGAGCAAACTGCACTGGTTGGATTTCCTCCTAAATGTAGAGCCCTGTTTTGTGATTTCTTCTGTTTCTTCCTTGAATTGGGTGTGACAAGTTTGTAATTGTCTACGTACTCCTGAGGCTCTGGTGCTTGACAGTGAACCAGCAAGTTTAATCAGCTGAGTCTCTGTGTTTATACGACATCTGTAAGACGTGTATGTTCTCAAAGAGATGAACAGTAACACTGTGATGTGTGTCTCTCCAGAGGGAGAATCGGCGCCTGCAGGAAGCCAGCATGCGTTTGGAGCAGGAGAACGATGACCTCGCTCACGAGCTCGTCACCAGCAAGATAGCACTGAGGAATGACTTGGACCAGGTCTGATCCTGCTCTTCTCTCAGTTTTCTTCTGTACTTTAGTCCTGTTTTATCAAATACAGTTGTATGCAAATGTTTGAACACAAATTTTATTGATTTTTTTATGTGAAAAGAGCCTCAATAGGAGCTTAAAGATGGTGTTTTTCTGCAGATTTCTAGTGCACGATTTCTATTTATTTGAGCTTAACATGTTGTAAAAAACAAAGCATAAAATTTTCCAACATATTAAATTCAGCAAATAGTAATGATGCATTAAAATGTGCAGAAGTGTGTTCTCTGTAGAGGATGTGTTCACTTATTTTTGCTTAGAAAATCAACAAAACATTTGACCAGGGGTGCCCAAACGTTTGCCTACAACTGTATATGCACATGAAAGGAAAATGAGACAGATATAGTATGAAAAGAATATTATGTTATTAATTTTATTATTATGCTACAATCTAGACACTAACATTTAGAACATGAATCTTGTTTTTATTCACTAACAACTTTAACAATTTAAAAATGGATTTGAAATATTATAAACTAGATATCAAAATGTATTTGCAAAGATTTTTTCCAATATTTAATTTTTCTTTTTCAATATTTGATATTTTTTGGGAACTGGAAGACGTCATTAAATTAAAAACGAATTTGCAACTATTTTAAGTAATTTCTTGTAAAGTTTTCTGCCTCAAAATTTGATCAGGGTTTTGCAAATATGGGGCACTATTGATGTTAATTTTGCTTTATTAATCAGCATTAATCAGCAATTTTACACAGCATTCTTATACAATTTTGGAGTCATCTAAAGCTTCATTCATCATTCTGGAAACATCTAAAATATTTTTATGACTTTTTACCGTTTCCTACGAGTTATCTGAAACGTGAAATTGTACAGTAATAGCCTCATATTAGAAACATTGGTGACACCGTACTGAAGGGCAGCGTTCGTAAGGCTACATGAAACCTACATAAGCCTTTTGTCACCTGACATAAAGCTACATTAAAGGGGAATCACAGTGAATTTTCAAAAATTCTGAATAGTTCAATTGTTGAGATGTAAACCAAGTCATTCAGAGTGGTTTGATGTGAAATGGTTCATTGTAGAGAAACTTACTGATTTTCTTTACAGTGGTGCTGATAGGAACCAGGGGTCACAATCTCTACAACACAAAAATGGCTATTTTATTTACTATCTAAACCAACAGCGAACCTCCTGCATCTTCTGAGCTTTTACATGTAATGTTGATGGTAAAATAGTGGCACATATGAAAAAATAAGTTGCAACTCACTGCATGTAACTCTGAATAGATTTTAAAAATAACTTTTAGGCCAAATCCTTCTCCAAAAATATTACCAAACAATGTTTAAGACATCGTGCAACATATTCATAACCATTTCATGTAATAACTGCTTGTGATGGAGCTCTTAGAGGCATGAAACTCTTCAGACGTCTGGTTCCTGTCGCCACCACTGTAAACAATTCTGACTCTGTAAGCTTTTCTAGAATGCATTTCACACCAAACCACTCTGAATGACTCTGTTTACATCTTAACCCTTTAATCATGCAGAAATGTTTAAAAAGAGTTCTCCTTTAACATTTGTGTTATTCCAACAAGAATCATTTGACATAAAGGCTGTTGTCAGTTTCACCTCTGAAAGCCTTATGAACGCTGCCCTGCAGTGAAATGTTACCAGAACATTTAAAGCATCTGTAAGAAAATTGTTTTTATATTATTGAAAACATAAATCGTGAACTTTTGAGCAGTAGTGTGAAGGGAACCATGTGTATGTGTGTCTGTAGGCGGAGGACAAGGCTGACGTGCTGAACAAAGAGCTGCTGAACACCAAGCAGCGGCTGGTGGAGACGGAGGAGGAGAAGAGGAGACAGGAGGAAGAGACCGCTCAGGTGTGCATTAGCACTGATTTTCTAATACTGCACTGTCGCAGTACAGCACAGAACCCTTTCAGAACCTCATTAACATTTATATTAGCCTCTTTGTTCAGCTCATCTTCGTTCACTGTGAATTTCAGTGCCCTGGTCTTAAATTAGCTTCTCTGCAGCAGAATTCACTGTATCTGAGTTTAACTTGTATCCACTGTAAGTGGTGATTCAGTTGCATCAATTTTGCGATGTTAGAAATGATTGTAATCAGTTTTAATAATATTCAGTGAAACAAAGATAAGAGGAGGAAAGGATGAGAAAAATGAAAGAAAAAAGATCAAGTAAGAAAAAATAAAATAAGTAAGACAAATAAATAAAGGAAAGAGAAAAGCAGAAAGGATAAGAAAAAAGAAAGGAATGTAAAATGAAGAAAGAAAGTAAGAACAGGAAAGAAAAAGAAAGAAAGAAAGAAAAGGAAGAAAGAAGGAAAGGAAAGAAAGAAAAAGAAAGAAAGATAAAAAGGAAGAAAGGATGAGAAAAAAGATCAAGTAAGAAAAAAAATAAGGAAGACTAAAAGAAATAAGTTAAGAGATAAAAGCAGAAAGGATAAGAAAAAAGAAAGGAATGTAAAATGAGAGAAAGTAAGAAAAGGCAAGAAGAAGAGTTAGAAGGAAAAAAATAAGAAAAGAAACAAGATCAAGTAAGAAAAACAAAAAATAAGCAAAACAAAAAGAAATAAAGAAGAGATAAAAGCAGCAGAAAGGAAGAGAAATAAATTCAAAGAAAGAATGTAAAATGAGGAATGGAAGAAAAAAGAGACAGAGAAATCCAAAGAAAGTGTAAAAAGAAGAAGTGAAGAGAAAAGAAAGGAGGTCAGATTTGTATTTTGTCACACTAAAATAAAGTGGAATGGTGTTGAAATTTGACGTCATGATCAACTGAAGCATGTTTAACTGTAACTGGACGATCGTGAGGTCAGCGGTTTTATAGGCGCAGTGTTTGACCGTATGTGCTGCTGTCGTTTAGCTGAAGGAGGTGTTCAGGAGGGAGCTGGAAAAGGCAGAGAGTGAGATTAAGAAGACGACGGCCATCATTGCTGAATATAAACAGGTAAGCTGGAGAGTCCCAGGCAGTAACTCTGAGTGTCAGTTCAGAACCAGAGACCCTGACTCTGATCTCGCCAGCCTGCTTTTCTACAGTGACTGCGTAAAAAGCTTTCGATGTACTGCTTGTACTGGAAGCCCAGCGCTGTGTTTCCCTCGAGGCTGAAGTAGCTGATCTCTGAGATGAATGCTGATAATGTTTAATATTGTCTGTCTGTCTTCCCGTCCCAGATTTGCTCTCAGCTGAGCACCAGGCTAGAGAAGCAACAGGCCTCCACCAAAGAGGAGCTGGATATAGTCAAGGTACAAGATTTAACCCTTTAGGGCTACAGTTCAGTTCTTCTCTCTTAGAACTGCTTGATTTTCAGATTATTTTCATAGTAGTTAATGAATAGAGTATAAGAGTTACTAGAGGTGAGAAAAATAATTCGATTGCAATCCACTCTTGAAAGATTTTGAGATTCTTCCAGAAAACGTCATGATCAGATGGTTTTACAGCTCTGCGTTTCCTCCTCTGTAAAATTAACAAATGCACTGCCAGAGGCTTTATAAAGTCGTAGTATATAATACTTTAGCGCAGCTTGTTAGAATAAAGAAGTGCAGGATCGCACTAATGCACATCTATTTCCAGACAAGAACTGGTCAGAAACCATAGCAAACACATCCTATTGGAAGAACATGGCTTTGTTTAACTATCAGCACAGGAGGTTTCTAACCAGCTAACAGGCTAATCCAGTAATACTCAGAGTTAGACTGTAAGTTAAAATATTTACTGAATAATTAACTGTGATGCTGCAGCGTACATAGAAATGCAAAAGCTTGGGCACACCTGGTCAAATGACAGTTTGTTGGTTTTGACATCATTTTTTGCATTTTCACTGCTTATTTGCTAAATTTAACACACTGGAAAAAGAACATTAAAACAACAATTGAGGCCAGGGCTGTTCAATTTGGAAAATAAACAGATATTGTGCACTAACATGCAGAAAAGATGCTATATTTAAGTTTATCCCTGTTGAGGATGTGTTAACTTGTTTTCACTTAGAAAATCAGCCATGTAATATCTGTATATGTAATTTGACCAGAGGCTGAGGGTTCCCAGAGCGTGACATACCGTCTGAGGAAAATACGTAGCATTTTTTTGTACAGTATAGGTATAGTACTTCATGGTTTCCTACATGCATCTATAGCTGAATTCCAGAGCACCTCCACTATAAGGGTAGAAAATGTTTCGATGTATTTTGACGTAAAACACATAGACAAGGCTTTGGAACTCACTCAGTTAAGTAGAGTTTGTGTAGCAGTCTGACGTTTCTTTTTTGAAGTTTATTAGCATGCAAGTCACTTTTGTGTGTTTCAAAGTTTAAAGAACAAGAGCTGAAATAGTAACTCAAAAAATGTTACTCAGTACTATAGAAAAATAGAATAGACAGTAGGTCTAAACTGCAGCAAACCTTGTTAGACAAATATAGAAGAAAATCATAATGTAGGCTGTATAAATAAAAAATGAAATTGCATTGAGAACTGTTTTCTGATCACACTGATCACCTCTAATATTTACTGAATATTAAATTTTAACACGCATAACTGAAAAATAAGCTGAGGGTTTAAGGAGTTAATTCAGATTTGCAGAGACATAATAATTCTTGCCACTGAGTGGCGCTGATTACGCTTCAGTAATGGATCAAGATCTTTTTTTGTTCTGGGAGTTTTTGTGAGAACTGTAGGCAAAAACTGATGTTTGTGTTAATTATATCTGCCTGTGGTGTGTACGTGTGTGTGCTGTCTCAGAGTAAAGTGATGGCGTGCGAGCGCTGTCGGGAGGTGTTTAGTAAGGACGGACCACTGCACATCCCTGCAGTGACGCAGGATAACCGTGACTCGGACGTGGACGAAGAGAAGGACTCTCTGAAGGCTCAGCTCCGAGAGCTGGAGCTGGAACTGGCCCAGACCAAACTGCAGCTGGTGGAGGCCAAGTGCAAGATCCAGGTCAGACCTCGCACCAACACCACTGCACATACAGACTCGCCCAACTGTACCGGCTCTTCTTGCTTCTAGGCAGAAATATTTTGAAAGAGAACCACAGCGCAGGTCTTTAGTCCAGTCCTTAAGGTGTAGATCTCAATTCATGCAATATATCTGTGTACAATACAGCTTTCACTGATTGACTAGACTTATCGTCATCTGTTCAGTGTGCGTGGGCTGGGCTGGGGTGGGGTGGGGTGGGGATATGGGTGAGGACGTAAGCACACCCATTAATGTGTTCTGAATTAAGTTATTACTCTGATTACATCTGTTTTTTGTTTTTTTTTTTGCGGGGGGGCGTTTTTGTGCGTCAGGAGCTGGAGCACCAGAGAGGAGTGCTGATGAACGAAGTCCAAGCTGCCAAAAACTCCTGGTTCAGTAAAACACTGGGATCCCTCAAGACTTCAGCCAGCAGTCAGCCCCCCTCCTCACCCAAAGAGGGCCAGTAGGACTCATACAGGCCTCAGCCAACGAGGGGAGAGCAGATCCTCTGCCTGGCCAGTGCGAAGGGAGACGAGGCCTCCTGAACACTACTAAATAACAAACAAGGCAATGCAGTATCCCCTCTCATGGTGGGACACAGGTGAAGTACAGAGTGACCACCTGAACTGTTCCCCCAAGGCTAAAGGACCACTGGTGGGATTCAGCTACCACCACCAATGGCATTGCTTGGTTAACTTAGATGTGCAGGCAACTGAATCATTTGTTTGTTTGTGGAAACTAACTTTGACACGTGGCAAAGCATAGCGGACTTTATTTAATCGATGCCAAGCGTTGTGGAAACTAAATTAGTTTCACAGCAGCATCATGAATACATTTCCCATGATGGGTCTTTTAGCATTAACACTATGCACAGTACAGCCTGTAGCCATAGCAGAGAGTGGGCAGTGTCCATAGTGATGCGCCACTTAGTGCGCCACCTACAGTACTGCAGCTTGAGCTTGCCATCTCATTCAGCCATGTTTACTGTGAGTGGAATAAAGCTACTAACAAGAAAATGTTCTAATATAGAAAAATAAGCAATGCTTAATTCATCTACACTTTTTTTTTTTTTTACTTTTTTTTATTTCAGAGAGGGGATACTGCATTCAGCTTAAAATATTGTGTCTTTTCTATATAGTAATAATTAATGTAATTGTCCTGTGTATAACTAAATGTTAAATCTTTTTTATCTTGTACAGTTTTTTTCTTTTAAATAATTTTTGAATTCGAATGTTACTTTTGTAAATATTAACAGCTAAAAAAAAAGCACAGTGTTCAAAGCAGTTGACCATCCGTAACCGTAATTACATTCCGGCCTTGTTGTTATTATTTTAATGATCCCATGCAACCATGTCCACACAGCCTGTAAGAGCAGGGTCCTCAAGATTATTGAAGTCCAGGTTTACGTTTTTTGTTTTAGTTTCCGCTGAGAAAGTGCAGCCTGGCTCTTTTCTATACAGTGGTTCACCCACACTGTACTGTGCAAGCCATTTAAACGTATCCACACACAGACTAAAGGGGTGTGAATGCTTTTCTATACCAGGGGCTACAAATGTGCCAAGAATTCTTAGCAGACGTCTCCCTGCAGGCTGCTTTGAGTGTGTCTGGTTTGGTCAGTTTTAATCTTTGTGACAGTAGAAATCCTGTGGTGAAGAGGGTGGATTCTCACCTTCGTCTGTACATAAAAGTGGTAAAGTGTGGAGTCTTACTCAAGATTAATCTCGGCTGAGAATGTTTTACTTTCATCGCTGCCGTGTGCAGTGAAGCTGTGGGGCGAACAGTAGTTGTGTTTCAGTTGGTTACCTACTACTCGTCAGTGTCTGTATCAATGTTTCTTGAATCTCTAGCCTTCCTGAATGGTTGTCATATGTGGTCTGCAGCCCATCATGATTTCTAAATCGCATGGAACGCACACTAACAAAACGTCCTTATCGTGAATACACTTTTATCATTTACATTGCTGTTATCTGTACTTATCTATTTTGTAATTTCTGAAAGTTACATGCAGCCAAGCACCAGTTTAGTATGGACTAATACAAAAGCAGTCGGTTACTAAATTGCGAGGCGCAGATGTTCCTTCTCAGTTATTAAAGGTTTATCATTTGCACTGTCCCGTCCAGTTGGTATCTTGACAAGTTACTTGACAAATAAACGTCTGGCTCTTGTTCTGTTAACTGACTTCTATTCAGTTTCCTTTTTTTGTGTCCTTTTCCTCCCTTTTAAATGCATAAACATTTGTGGTAAACCAACATGGTGCCGTACACCTTACTGACATCAATGTTCTCGATGTCCAGATCTCGCTGTATGTCTGTGTTTTTAGTTAAAAAATGGGCACCACTTTAAAATGAGACTACCTTTATAAAAGCTTCCTGAATGGTTTAAAATGAATGTTAATTAGATCTTAAAGCCCTAGTCATTAGAAAGCATTTACAGCACAAATAAAAAGGGCCACAGCGACCTGCTTGCCTAACAGAGAACCCCAATTATTTGTAAACCTCAGATTTTGATGTTTGCTGTTACTACTGTCATCAGTCAGCATTAAACTGTTAGCTTCATCACTACTTTTCATCAGATATAACAGCTCACTTTTTATTAATGTTATAACTGCTTAATAATGATTAAAGAAGTGTTTATGACCTTAACACCATTCATAAACCCTTTATAAGGACACTTATTTTAAAGTGGTACTAAAAAATGTTACTGAATACAGGCCTGTAGAGGGAGAGAAATGAGACTGAAATAACAGGTGAGTAATCAAGAAGAAATGTAACTTCCTTACATAATATAGGATATAGAGCTGTAGGCCCTCATTTCTGATAATAAAATGTAATTGCAAAAAGTTCCCTGCAGCCAAAAGTCACTATGACCATATTTTCTCATTATTAAACGTTTAAATACAGAGCAAAATCATTTGTGCTGAGACTGTACCAATCTGTAGTCTGACAGTAATAATAAGGCCCTGCAGTATGGCCCCCAGACCCCACAAGTATCGGCTTAGTCCCACTATCCATAAATCTCCTGCTGCATGATCAAGAATTATTTACATAATCAAAATAACTTCCACATGTTCCCAACATAAAATCTGAATATCAGATGAAAACACAGCTTAGTTCTGCATAAACATTGAATAACTGACTGGCTACTTTATCACACTTCACTAAAGGGTGGCTGGAACATCAGCCACACGCAACAAAGGATGAATAAAAGCAGCTTGTTTTTCCCCTTAAAAACACAAGGAAACGCTTTGTACCAGCCAGTGACAGAAAGAACTAGCACACTGAAGTGTAACTTGCCCTGCTACCTTGAGTACACTGCATTCCATGACTTTTCCATACACTGTAACATCTCAGTCTCCAGATTAGTTCACTGACACAACCCACTCACCATGAACAAGGACCATTGTGGTACCATTAAAGCCACAAGCCTAAAACATTTTTCATCCATACCCCGTATTTGTACTCGAGTAGATAAAGGCCACAAAACTGATACTTGGTAACATACAGCTTTGTGTACAATTAGCTTGTTTTTCAGCTGTGTGGATACAATCCAGGGCTGCTGCTGCATATTTGGTAAAATCAGATTCAAAGGTTTTTAATATCTTTATAAATCCACAACAAAGGAAAAACACCAACAAAAACAGTAAATATGGCATGTATAACCTTCTAAATAAAATACAAGTTTATTCAAACAGATCAGAAGGAAACGTACACTTTGAAATGACAGTAGTCACTATGCACTAGTCCCCCCCCCAATTTCCCTAACCAGCTGCACTAACTGCTCTTGTATTCAATCAGGGCTTCTTTTTTAAGCATTTTAAATCTGATACTAAAACTAAGTTCCTAAATGACCACTGAAATCAGCACCGACACAAAACTGTAAGGATTTTTCCACGGTTCAACCCAAATTACACCAATGACAACTTTGTTTTTATAAACAAACATCAGGGCAGCAACCAGCAAAAACTGTCAAATATGCTAGATGCTCTTACTGTGGTTTAGGGCAGTGTTCAATGTATTTAGGCCAAATTCATAAACTGATCATTACTGGGCAGAAGGGCTCTAGCTCAGACAAAACGGTTCTGGGCAAAGTTGAAAACTTGCAGGATTGTGAAATGTTCATACCAGCCTAGATCTGCTGAATATGCTTGTTAACTATGTTTGATCCCACTAAGACATGAACATTTCAATGCAACATTCCCCCAACTTAACATTTCCCTTCTATGCATAATGTAATTAAGCATTTCTACAAAATGTCATTTTTAAAAACACCAAAACTGGAAAACTGTGCAATATTGTCTCTACATTTCAGATTTATTGATAAGCCTTTAACAAAGGCCATTACTGAAAAGCATAACAATAAAAGTGGGGAGGGTAAGAAAGAAAAAATAAAAATTTGGTCTCTAAAAAAAGATTTTAAGCAGGCAAAAACTAAAACAACATTTTTGCACTAGTACAAATGTGAAGAACAAAATCTTCAAAAGCTGGAGGAAGCAGATCTGGGACGGTATCACTGGAGGATTATGCGTTTCTGTCGATCCTCACATCGATCTCCCTGCCGTTCAGCCGATATCCGTTCATGGTGCGGCAAGCCCGCTCTGCTGTCTCAGGACTGTCGAAGCGAACCACGCCGCAGCCCTTGGACTTGCCATTCTCCATCTTGATGTCGGCATACTGTACAATGCCTGTGTGTTCAAATAAAAATCATTAATGTACTGAGAAAATGTTTCACAAGATGGATGTTTAAGGGTGAGAAACAATGACCACTAAAGTAAGTAACAGTGTCAGCAAATCAAACATGATTCTTGGTCTCACCACATGAATTGAAGGCATCCTTCAGCATCTTCCAAGTAAAATCAAACGGCAGCTGCAGGAAAAGTTTAAAACATTTTACAATGAAGTCAGTGTTCAGCTTTTCGATAGAAAGCATATCATATGTATTTCATCTTGTTCAGCCTTTAATGACTTACGTTTCTAACAAAGATCTGACAGCCTTTCCTGGCATTGGCTCCAGCTCCCGGCCCTCCCTGTCCTGCTGAACCAAAGCTGCCAAAGTTACCACGATCCATATCTGCACCTCTGTCAAACTGTCCTCCCACACCACCAGAACCCATGCGGTCCAGACTGGAGCCCATGCGGTCCATGCCTGGGGCAGGGAAGCGGTCGAGCCCACCAGAGCCCATGCGGTCAAAGTTGGAGCCCATGCGGTCAAGGCTGGCGTTCATTCTGTCCATGCCCATGGGAGAGGCGAAATCCATGCCTGCACTCATGCGCTCAAGGCTGGAGGGACCGAGCCGGTCAAAGCCAGCAGGACCCAGGCGGTCCATGCTGGAGCTCATACGGTCCAGGCCAGATCCCAGCCTGTCCATACTGGGCCCCAGCCGGTCCAAGCCTGAGCCCATACGGTCAAAGCCGGAACCCAGCCTGTCCAGATCAGAGACTCTGTCCATCCGGTCCATCCCCATTCGGTCCAGGCCAGCCATGCGATCCATGGTGGCGCCAAGCCTGTCCATGCCAGAGCTCATACGATCCATAGCCAAACTGCTACCTATAAGCAGGCAGACAGATCTATGACTGCTGAACTTTCCAGGGAACCTTGTACTTAATAACACACCCATCATAAAACCTGAAAAACTCACCCATTCCTCTGTCAAAGGAGTCTCCAAAGTTGTTGCGGGACATGCCCATCTCATTACGGCCACCAAATTCTCTGTCAAAGGCAGCTCCAATTCCACGATCCATATCTGCAAGAAAATGTTCATTAAGTGGGAAAGCTATACAAAAATGATCATCAGCAAGCTTTACTGCACAAATGAGTCACTCACCATTCATTCGTGCCATTCCAGAAGGCCCAAACCGATCCATGTTGTTCATTCCACCTCCAAAATTATCCATGCCTTAAAACAGTAGAACAGGCCAACATTAAAATTCTCTATATAGGATAAATGAAGAACCACATTTAATACAACACTGATTTAACTGTTAAAGTCTCAACGCTCAGAACAGTGAACCTGGAAGAGGTACTGTTGTCTGAAGTTTAGGACTCGTTTACAAAGCTAAGAAAAGAAGGGCTTGTCTGGTTCCAAGCCAAACCCAGACCAAGTTAAGCTCTGACCAAACACCAGATGTCCTTATTCAGACATCCTTTGTGAACATGCAGGGCAAGGTCTTATGACGCAAAATACATGACTACATGAAATGAACAATGGCTGATGCAATGTCCCAGGAACATACCTCCCATTCTACTCATGCCACCAAATCCCATTCCATCCATTCCTATGGAGAAAATGAAATGAATGAATGAGGGGATGCTCATGAAGGATTATGGGAAATGCCACACAAGTTCATTAAAAAGTGAAAGAAACATATCCATTACCTCCAGGCCCCATACTGCCCATCCCACCACCTCTGTTCAGCTGGGCAGCATCGATGGGTTGCCCACCAGGTCCTAGTCCCAGACCTATTCCACTCAGACCACCTGCAAGTTATTAAGGAGAAAAATTAAGTGGGATTAATCACAATGTGACAATACTAAGTGATTTCTACGATATGATATATGACTAGGACCCCATATCCACTTTGACAATTTTACGACTGTAGCATAATTATTTTGACAAGGTCACTCACGAGGCAGTGCAGGTGGTCTCTCAGGTGGTGCAAAGTCACCCTTTGGCAAGGACTTCTCATCCTGGAATGACACCATACAAAAACAAAACATTGCTTTTATACATGTTTGTATTGCATTTTTAAGAGCTAAAAAAGTTCAAAAAATGTCTACAAAAACATTTAATGATCACTCACCAGCTTAACGTGCATTGTTCGATTGAACAGGAGCTGTCCATTGAACATAGCTAACAAGCAAGTTAGGGAAAACAGAGTGCTGTGTGTTCAGAACATATCCATTCCAATATTTGGTGTCAACACATTGATCAAGTTTTTTTTTTTGCATTGTGAAGGATACAGACTGCTTGCACTGCTTCAAGGGGCATCTCAAAGGTGACCGTCCCCATGCCCCTGCTCTTGCCATCCTTGTCCTCGAGGATATCAGCACGGACCACCACCCCAGCCATGCTGAACACCTCTTTCAGCTTCTTCCAGCCCACTTTATAATCAAGCTGCAGAAGTGAAGAAATCCATTTTGGAAATGCACACTAGAAAATAGCGCATTTTTAATCCAATATTAACTCTGTGCATTAAGTACTTACATTTGCCACAAAGACAGTGCTTCCAATCTTGCCAGCCTGGAGGCCGTGGATGATTTCAGTGGGAATATTTGGATTGTTCATGAGACTTGGAGGGATGTTTACCATAGGGGGACCACCAGGCCCAGGTCCCATACCCATTCCACCACCCATGCCACCGGGAGGTCCTCCACCACCACCACCTTGAGCCCTATGGGCTTCACGCTGGGCAATCACTCCATCTGGGTCCTAAAATGATAGTAGGCCTGCAGTGATTAGTCAGTCACCATAATTAGTCACACTAAAAATTACCTTTTGTCTTGCTGCAATTTGAAAAGTAATTTTCACCAAATGTTCCACTGGCGACACACTGGCAAAATGACCACCTTAAAGAGGAATTCAACTGCTTTTTTAAAATGTCTGCAGAAGTAAATGGTTAAGATGTAAATAAACATGATTGGTGCAAAACGCTTCGTTCCTAGAGAACTGTTCATAGCGGCAGTGACAGGAACCAGACTTCGGAAGTGCCAAATCCCTCTAAAGGCTACATCACAGAAAGCTACTGAAATGGATACAAGTGTTACCTGATGTCTAAGACATAGTTTTACAATAGTTCTGGAGCTTTTAAGCTCTTTTAGCTTAAAATGTAGTTTTATAAAATGCATTCATGGCAGAGTGGTACATGCAGGGCATTTTAAGGCAAAATAGTTCCAAAAGAAAAACATACTGAAGATTTATCACTATTTTACCATTCTTAACATTACATATAAAAACTCAGAAGACACACGTAGGTTCACTAATGTTGAATAGTTAATAAAATGGCTATGTGTGTGTTGTAGATATCACAGCCCCTGGTCCCCATCAACACTACGGTAAAGCTAATCCAAGTTGGAACTTATTATTAAAATTAACCATTTCACATAAAGTCCACTCGGAATGACTTTACATCTCAACCACTGAATCAAACAAAAACTGACCTCTTTCACTTTCAGGGGACGGCCATTCATTACGTGTTTGTTGACCTTCTCCACAGCCTTTTTCATTAGTTCTTCGGTTCGGAACTCAACCACCCTGCGAAGTTAATGGGGAATGTAAGGCATTCGCACGGCAGATGTAAAGCAGAGAAAAGGTCAGGAGACAAGAAAACAGATGAAATACTTACGCACAACCCTGGGTTCACATGAAGCATCAATCAGGGCAACCGGAGCAAAAACAGATGATGGGAACAATTAGACAACAGTCATGGAAAGTTACTTTTGGTAAAGCACTTCTTTATACACATTGTGTTTTACTTAAAACAACTAGACATTTCTCCGTGGTGTTCATTCACATAGTTACATAACTTGATTAAGCTCACACTCAGTAGTGCACTAGGGCTCTCCAGTTAAACAATCAACACAAGCACCAAAACTTACAATTAACGTTATATGATCAAGGCAAGTATGTTCCTCCACTATAATTATTCCACTACAGCAGGTTCAAAGAATCAGTGATTTACTGAAGCCATGTTAACCATGATTAGCTTACTGAACACCATTCACTACTGTCAGTCCCTGATGAGACTCCAGGCAGCGCAGAACGCCGCCCTTTGGGACTGAATGCACAAGAACCAGAATTACCATGGAGCTGTGAACCATCCCTGTGGCTCCACTCTGAACCACAGTCGTCATCCACATTCAGCCAAGACTCACCCACGACGACATTTTCAACTCTCAAAACCAAAGTCTGAACATCCCATATTGAAAGAAGTAATAAGAAAACTCAAGCGGACAAAGGGAGGTTCGCTCTTGCACTTACCCTTGATTTGCCTTCCGCGTCCATTAAGTGTTCCACGTACGTTACCTCACCCACTACAAATCAGATTCCAGACGACACACACCAAGGGAGAGAAGCCGAGAAAACAATGGGGGTTTAGAGCAGACACACAACCGGGCGGTGACAGTGAGCTCGGCCTGCTAGTCCAGAGCCTCCCCCAGCACCACAATTCTGGTACAGGTCTACAAAAAGCAAGCTGCCATCTTAAAATCGACTTCTTAAGCTGTCCTTGCTTAAAAAACCCAAACATCCTTAATGACCGAAAGATTTACAACCTCACGATCCATCCTTAAGAATTCACGATCCAACCTTGCGAATTACGGGTCTTTTGTACCTTTTCCCCTCATTAATTCAGGATGATAACCAAAGTTACGAGTTTTTAGGATCAAAACTTGAGTATTAAGCTGCCTGCACAACCAGTCAACAAAAACCAAGTGTGTTCTATGTTTTGGCAGACAGACTGCTCAATGTTGCAGCACCTGCAAACCCAACCACAATGGCACCACCTGAGCTTGACTTGCAAAATTAGCATTTTTCTACGCATGAATTGAAAGCTTCACCTGAACAAGCTTCTAGCTAAAAAAAACCCAGTAAGGAAGAGGCCTTTGAGTCGCTGTGAATCTTCACAGACTGTTAGCACATACAAGGTAGCCACCCAAAGATCCTACTTTTAGATAAACTTAGTAACCACGTTTGGTATATCCAGCAAGAACGACCTTACAAATCAGTGGACTGACCATTTCTCAGATAAATACAAGGACAAGCTTAAGAAGCTGCTTTGCTCTGTAGACCTGTACCCCAACAAAGCTAACACGCTTCCAGGCAAGGGTACAATATGAAGATCTGCTGCGAAAACATTCACTCTGGCATACCTAAAAAAGAGAATGCAATTTAATTCTACAGGCAGCAATTTCCAAAATGACACGACAGAAATTCCTCATGCTTGCACACCATAGGCCATGAAAGATTCTCTTGGATTTATATGTGCAATAGCCTACGAGTCTATTCTGCAACAGAACTTGCTCTGGGGATACTGATTCCCCAACCAAATACTCTTAAGACATAAATGTGGTTTTACAGCTTAAACTGAAAGCAAGCGTTTCACCAAAGGCTGGCTATGTACCATTCTCTGGCATTAAAAAAGGTAAAGCCTAGCCAGCCAGAACAAGGCTGAATTTTGAGTACATTTTATTGCTCCTATCCTAAAACCCAAAGAGCAGCTGTAAAACAGGACTCCAGATTCACTTGGAAGAGTCAAGTTGTTATGAAACCTCAGCGCTCAGAGAAAACTCTAAGCCTTATACATCACTTACAGTGCCATTATTTCCAGTCTTAATGGTGCACCGTACTGCACAAACATGCAGAATGGAATTTAAGGCACTACACAACTGCAACACAACCGCTTTTCAAATTGAAAGCAGCACCATCCAACGGGGATTTTTATCTCCCTGTCTACAATGCTCGCTCTTAACAATAGTGTTTAGACCATCTCTGGTATCAAATTCTTTTCCACAGTCTACTGATAAACAGGGCCTAATTCCACACCCTCCAAACAAGAAAAGAAAAGATAGAGTACTCCACTGTGAACAGCTGAGCCTTACCTTTGTCCTTCATGAGGTCTTTCAGTGCCTGCCATTTGACATCATAGGGAATGTTGCTCACAAAAACACGGTATCTCTTGGAAGGGTTTCCATAGGGCTCGAATCTGCCGCCTCCACGTTTTGATGACCGCTCCTTTCTGGACTCGTGGCCGGACTTCCCATTAACCGTGTTTCTAAAAAAAGGAAAAACAGCAAGTCCTCTTTAAGGTACAAGAGCCATGCCTTGCACTCATATTATGCGGCTGACCAACGAGGCCTGGTTAAACCCACAGGAGAAAAACAAACATGAGGGCCAAGATGAAAAGGCAAAATGGCAGCCTTAAAATAAATTCAAATGCATTTTAAACTGCAAGTGGAGTAACAAACGGCATTGTACCGCCAGACTACAGACGCTGAACAGCAGGAGCTCTAGCAGCCGTGAAGCTAAATGTGATCTACGTATTTGTATTACTGAACATACCATCCTCATTTTTCCAAACCATTTATTGTTTTATATACTAAACACGTATTTAACCGTTTTCTGGATTTCCCACAATGAAGGCCATGCCCAGTGTCGAACCAGAGTAAACTGCTAGAGTTCCTTTTACAAAGGAAACAGGAGTTGGGTTCCTACGTTCATCCAGAAAGAGAGAATCAAGACACACCAGTCCTGACGCAGCCATTAACCTGATGGAAATGTTTCACCGGACACACTCAAAGATTCTTCAAGGGTAGCTTCTTTAGTAAAGGGAATGGCTCCATTTAGAACCATGAGCTCTGTGTGCAACCATTTCGTGTTAAATGGTTCTCTGCATGGTGAAATTGTTCTTCAGATTGATGGAGAACCATATTGTCGAGAGTGCGCACTTTTTGTTTACAAAACAGTACAATGTCAACATTTTACCCTTATAGAAGCATAAAGCATTAACCGAATGCACTGCATTGCATGTGTTTCACTGCACTGCATCAAACTAAATGTTTGTCTTTTAGTGTGTAAACCGACCAGAAAGCGCAGATGGAGATTCAGCCACGCCGCTATGTAACAGGCCGCTACGCTAAGCTAGTTTAGCATTAGCCGACTATCTTCCCGCACGCAGCTAACAAAAGACGGTAAACTGACTGAAGTTACATGACGCACTTACTTAAAATATTAGTTATAAACCAATGTTAGCCGTTAACGTGTCGATTTTATGTGAGTAGTTTAAATTATAATGTAAACAAACGGACGGGGACAAAGTGCGTCCACAGTTTTCTTTGTTAGCAAACGCTCAAACAAGCTAAAGTAGACGAGGCTTAAGATGGCTTCCTGTTCGGCAGCTTCTTGTTCGAATTTACCGTTCCACCTTAAATGGTGCAGCAGTTTTATTCCGACGCCTGAGGCCAGAGTACAATTGCTACACCATTTAAGGTGGAACGGTGAACTCGAACAAGAAACCGGCGAACAGGAAGCTAACTGCAATTTCATCCAAACTAGTTAGCTTTAGCGTGATAGCTAACGCTCGCTAAGCTAAGCTATGCTATGCTATCTCTTGTCTCGGCCTCATCTTGAAGCCCAGCGCAGGCTGGAAGTTACCGTTTGGCACAAATCTAGCAAACGCGACGAAGACTCAGTATGGGTCAACATACAGAGTCCAGAACTGCGTCTGCAGAAATGTTTACTTAAGGCTGCTGACAAGAACCTTCGCGGTACTTTGTTTCTGCAAAGGAACTACAGCTATGGCCGCTCACTTAACTTACCCTTGGCCTGACTTCTCTGGTGCAGCTTCAGTCGACATTTTCAGCTCTTCTTTCGCCCCAGCAGAAAATTTAATGCCGAAAAAGTAGCAACACTCAAAACAAAAGCAGTTCTTGGTAACGCTGCGTAGATGCTCCGATGATCTCCCTTTGCTGTTCTGCAAGTTCTTCGTTGCGAGGTGGCTGAAATGGCGGCAGTGGGGCAACGAAATGGATATTTGTGGACACCTGCACGCCCGTTTTCAGGAAAGCTCCGCCTCCTGCTCTGCGATTGGCTCTTGGAGCGTTGCGGCTTTCGCAGCGATTAGCTAATCTTTATACTGACTTTTGAACTGTCCAATCGGTGAGCTGCTTGCGAGTACTAACGCGTTGATCCGTCGGAATATGGGCGGGTAAACAAAAATTGCATTGAAGATTGTATCACATGGCTCCCGTCTGGATTGTGGGTTCGAATTCATGGATCTGATGTTCATGTTCTGTGTTTTGAGAGCTTGGATGTCTATTTACCAAAACTTTAAAAAGTAGAATCACACACACAAACCACAAAGTCCAAGAGCCAACATACAAATAATTAAAAAAATAGACAGGATTTCTATGTATAGTCAATTTTCATTTTCATTGTTAATTAATCTTTACAGTGTGTGTAAGAAATGTACATTTCAATGTGGGTTGTAAAGCATGCATTTACGCACAATCTTTGTATTGTATGATGGGCAACACCAGTAAATCAATGAATCAGTTAAGACATAATTCCTGATTTTTCAGTAATTCAATGATATTATTTTTAAGAAGTGAACAGTGTTCACATCCCAGCTAAACATGTACTTCACCTGACATCACTGAATGTGAATTACTTGGATTGTGAGAATAAGAACGTGCAACTAACTTCTAAGACTGAACTTTGGATGTACTTTAACTTATGTCCAGATTTATTTCTATTTTTCTGCATAGTATATGTAAGTTTATGTGCAATTACATGTCTTGCTACTGAAACACTGCAGTTTCCCTCCGGGATCAATAAAGTTCTTTCTTTCTTTCTTTCTTTCTTTCTATCTATCTATCTGGAAAAATATCCCTGCTGATTTCTTTGAAAAACTGAAAGCACGTCTCCTAAAAAGAATGGAAGCTGTAATGGCAGACAAAGGGCTGACACACCAAATACTTAAAATCTAGATATATTTAGTTGCTGAGGCTTCTGTGTAATTTTTTGTTAATGTGTTTGTCCTGCTCTTCTGAGTTACCTGAGATAACCACTTGGTGATCATTTAAATGCTTTTTAAAATACTATTAATTTAGGTTTCACCTAAGCAAAATGCTGATGCAATTTGACTATTGCAGAGAGGCTGTAAAAGACACCGGTTAGGATGAAGAAGAGTCGGGGCAGTTAACAGATCCAGAGCATCATTTTTAATTTGCTTTGCACACTTTTCTTGGCTGATTGCAAGCACCAACATATTTTGGTGAGGACGATACAGACACACCGTTCTTTATCCACTGCACTACGTAAACATACAGTATCTCAAAAATGGGTTCGAGCGATAAAAATCCGGTGCTGGATGAATAAATGAAGACATACATTGCAAATGATACATATGGTATGAATACATTAAAACACAATGACAACATAAAGAAATAAAAAGAAAACTGTGTACAATGTTTACAATTGCTTACTTTCATCTTACAGAAACAAACAAAAGAAACATGATTGGTCTTAAACATGATTTTTTTTAATGCAACAAAAGTGGACCAGTTCTCCAAATCCAGAGATGGATAGAATATCAACCAGGGTTTATTTTAAACCCTCTGAAATGTGTAATATGGAAAAGGCAAACCATTTTCCAATAATAAATCAGTGAAAGTGCAATATGGCTAAAAAATAATAATACAATAAAGAGCATGCATGTTTCTCAGGTAAAAGAACAGATTGGGTCAGCTGTATTAACACTAGAGTAAAGCAGTACCCTCTCAACTGCTTAAGTATACTTGCAGGTTTGCATAGTGGAGGGAACTCAGGGGCATCCACTTACAAGTATTAAAAATCCAACACTGTTTTCCTCTTCTTGTGTGAATGTATTCCTACAATCCTTCATATTCTACATCTATATAGTAGTAATAATCTTACATGTACTGTTAAGGTTATAGGTAAGAATTGCATTGTAATATTATTGAAATTGCACTCTAGCTTTTTTTTTTAACCACCCCACATTGCAAAATAAACAGATAATGGCCCAGAAAGAAAAAAAAGGCAAACATGTCAGATGGAAGCACACAATAAAAGACAGTGTTACTAAGAGCAGCAGTCAGCTGGTGAAAATGCGCTTAGCTGCTGATCTGAGACCAGTTTTGCAGTTTTTCATGATGGTAAAAGTTGGGCTTCCATGATCAGCACAAAAGTGCAAATTCTTCCCAAAGCTACTCAGTCCCACGACACACGACAGTAATGATTATAATAATACAGAGAGGAGTTTTTGCCAACATTTTTTCCTTCCCAAAAAAAAAATAAAAAAAATAAAAATGACAATTAATGTTATAAGCTTCTATTAACTCTATTGCACACCGCTTTCCAAAACAAACCACTGTCCAAAATAGGATTCATTTAGAGTGTTGAGTGACACTTGAAAGAAGTAAACAATAATTTGCAAGAAATCTCTGTGGTGATTTTCACTCCGTTAACAAAGAGGTGGTGAGTAGTGCAAACAGCACTATGATAGGTTTATGACTTAGACTAGAGGTTCGTCCATGTTTTTTTACTCCACTTACAGAAGCAAGCACCTTTTATTGTTTGTTTTGAACTCATTCATTCAGTACCGTGCAAAAGTCAGAGGCCAACCTTTGTTTACTTTACACTCCCAGTCAAATCAGTCATTAAGTAGAAGTCATTCATTTTTCAGGAGAGATTTCTGAGGAGGTTAGATTAGATAGCCCACTTGCACAAGGAAGGGCAGGGTCAAATTAGTCTAAACAACTTTGCAAGGCCTGGTAGACCACCAAAACAGTCAACATCAGATAAACAGCACTTAAAGCTTTCATCTTTGTGAGCGAGAAGAAAATCAAGCTCAGCTTTCCTTCCACTGTGAGAAATGAACTCTATGCGTCTGAAAGGACGTGCTGCTGTCAAGAAGCCTCACTGAGAAAAAGCCATAGACTAAAAGTTTGAATGTGTTTGGGATGGTAAAAAGCAGAAAATGCAACCAACTTCTAAGACTGAACTTCAGAGGTGTGAAAAAATATTCCTGAAACTAAAAAGCAAGTCTCCTGAAAAGAATGGAAGCTGTAATACAGCTAAAAAATAGACAGTAAATACAGAAAAAAAAAATCACTTACATTAAGCTGTTGAGGTTTCTGTATAATTTTTTGTTAATTGCATGTTTTCTGCTTTTTTCTCCAAACACTAAAAAAGAAAAAAACTTAACATTGGCATTTTGACTGTAAATTAAACAAATGAAGGGAAGTTTCTGATTTCTGCACAGTACTGAATGTGGCACTGTTGAAGGTCAACATAACACTTAACAAGGGTCGACTGCTTAGACTGGTCTGGGGCCAAAGGTCAGGCCGGCCTTGTACATTAGTCGAGTGCAGCAGTCGGTCAGTCATTCGAACATTCACAGCCCCGATCCCTAAACACAGCCACACACAGAGTTACACATACACACCTGGACTGTGAGCAAACTTTGCTTCTTGAGTGCCTTAAACAGACATGAGACATATCTACAAATTTACAAAGCATGTCCAAAACTTTAGTGTTAATTCTTGGACATTAGAGTCTATCTGGACCTCCATAAATACAGTCCATCTCTGGGTAAGGGAGAGCAGACATCAATGAGACGTTTTCAATGTGACCAAGATACCCAGCTTTCAGAACAGGGACTGAAGAGTACGTTGATAAGACATGGTCCCTCAAGAACTGCATATCGGCCTTGCTTTGGTCAGGAGGTCCATAAAGCCATTAGGAGGAGGGCCTATCATTCAAGATACAATATGCATTTCACTCAATAGACCTCTGAAGCCATATTAGGAACTCTGAGCTGGGTCTAAGCAGATTTTCTCTATTTTAAAAATGAATGGCTCTTCAAAAACTATGCTATCGCATGTTGTAGTAAACAAAAACGTTCCAAACCCGATTTTGTCCTACGTATATTTTTCCCCCAGGTAACACTGGATTCTCTAAATTAGGTTGTTTAGCAGTCGAAATATGAATAATGCTACAAACATGCTACAAGCAAGCTAATATCCCTGTAGACTAAAATGATGCGGCATGACAATAAGTCTAGTATGAAACTTCAGCAATATTTGAAAGAGTTAAAGTGCATAGCTGTGTTATGTTTGCTTTTTACTTAGAATATGTAACAACCGCCGAAACTGAGTGTGTTTCTTGTTTTTGCATCAATATATGCTGAGTTGTTATTGTCTGTGGAAAAAATGAAGGCTGCGGCCTTGAGGCTGGTAAAGGAAGGCCAGGATGGGGCCTTCAGCTTCTCATAGCTCTAGAACATTCCATCATATACGGCCTGTTCATGTTCTTTGTGCCAACACCTGCATAGGGTAATATATGAACTCTCTGTCTTTCTGAATAAAGCTGAGTCTGTTAAACTGCATTTCTCCAATGCATGTTTGACTGCAAGCACTACAAGCTTTGTTCTGCAGAATTCCCAAGACCTGAGGCAGCATGAGAATAGGAGAAGAGTTTGTTGAGTCTTTTTCCTAACACTCTTGTACACTATACTGTGGGCCACTACCACATTTGATACAGCTTGCTGGTTTGTGTGGGTTATTTTGGTGAGGTTGCCAGTATTGTGATAGTTCTTTGTGTAGGAGTGTTAGCTTGCATGTAGCAATATTTGCATTTTAGCTCTTTAACAATCTAGTTATGCAGAGGATTTGGCAACATTTGGCGGAAAGGTGTACATACATCCTGCCTTTGGGAAGTTTCCGTTTTCCATAAGGTGCGATAGCAGCAAATTTCGAAAACAGCATTTATCTTTTTCACAGTGAAAACCAGCTTAGAACTGGTGTTCCTATCATGGGCATGCTGACTACAGGATGACGACAACTTCAGAGGTTTATACATGTCAGGTTTTTTTCTGTAAAGTTAGCTCTGATGGTTGGTGGTGTTTTGCACATCATTCTTGTAACACGTAACATGGAGAAGTCTTGATGACCAACTTGTTTGCTTCATACTGGAGTGCTGTATATGCATGAAAATCCAATTGTTCCCCTGTTATCAGACAAATGCCCCCCAAAAACTGCATATTAAACAAGGTAAAACTGCTACAAAACCATAAAATATGCCACCCTACATCTCCGCCATTTATACTCACCAGAAATTATTAAACAGCACAAAAATACAGACCTTAATACAAAACATGTATATGCATACATACGCATATGTGAATGCGCGCACACATCCTTCCCTTTCACACAGCCACAGTCTTATCAGCCACTGGTAGCTGGAACATATTCAAAACTAAGAGTCATTTGAACGACAATCCGTCACAATAATGAAGTCGTAATGTGTGTTCGCCACTTTCAATTTTACAAAGTTAAAATAATGCTTCCCAATGAATCCTGAATGCATACACATATCTACATTTGATCAGCTCACATCTAGGCTACTTAAAGTCATCGTTTTAAGTAATTAAGTGCTACCACTGTAGGACCACTGCATGCCGCTTTTACGCATTTTGGAGAGCTTGGTTTTAACAGGTGTGAAAATGTAGCCTATGCTGATCCACAGATGAAATCTGAGATAGCAACTTTAACAGTCACTAATTTCATGAGACTTTTAACAAAAATAAAAAAAAGAAACGAGAGGATTATGCATGCATGCAAACCTGTGCATGTCAGAGGCCGTACAGTGCCTCATACTGAAAGGTCAAAGGACAGTGTCTTATTGCACACTCCTATTATGGTCTGTTTTCTTTTTTCTACACTGTAGGAGTATGTTTAAGAGGTCCAGTGCTTGCACCTCACTCCATTATAGCCCATTCCGCTGGCAGGCCAAACTGGGCCCTGTCATCCTGTAACACTTCAAAAATCACTAAATGGGCTTACGAACAGAAAACAAAGCTTTGAGCTTTCATAATATACATCAATCGTGTCATTGAGAACCACAAGGGCTAAATTGCTCAACAACTGGCCTTGACCAATTTTCATCCAATCAAGATGCAAAATGGTTTAAAAACTGAAAAAAAACTATAACTGTCCAAAAGAAGAGTTTGGTTCTAAGCTTCAGCAGCTGTTCCTGCTTTCCTGCATATGTCTCTCAACGCATTACCCAATCTCCTATTCTCTCGCTTTAGATTTCTGACAGTCTTAAAAATAAAGCTTAGTATGGGGCCTTCCTATGAGTAAGCAAATAAATAGAATCATTCCTAAACCATAAAACAACTTACAGAAGCTCAAAAAAGAGGAAAAACCCACACACAATAAAAAGAGATTGGTGGGAAAAAAAAGAAGTGCTCACATATTTAGATAAAAAGGATTAAATAGAAAAGAATGCATCCAAAAGTGCTGTGGCTCTCGCTGATGACATGGTGCATCAAGAACCTTTTAGCACGCTAATAACAATGCTTTATCGTGTCCCCCACCACCCCCCAGGAAAAACCATGGATCTCATACTATGGTCTCATCTGCTGACTTTTTCAGCAGCTTGGTGGAGAGCAAGGAATGCTGGGTAGAGTGGGCACCCTTGGCGTCTGGAATGAGCAGGCGCACTTTCTGATTGGTTCGTCTCCACTCTGAGTACAACTGACAGTGGTAGCGGAATGACACCTGTGGAACAAGAGGATTCACTCAGTTAAAGGTGCTTCATCAGTTCTCAATACATCGTCACTGTCTTAAGCAAACCTTGGCATGGTTGTAAAGCAGAATTCCACCAATGTTTTTACATTTCTGCACAATTAAATGGTTAAGATGTAAATAAATTCATTCCAAATGGTTTGATGTAAAATGCTTTTTCAGGTTTTCCTCTATTTTAGCATTATCAACATTACATATTAAACTAATATACAGGAAACTAGAAGCTAACGGAAATGAGAAGCTAGCAAATGTCCTTCTTAGAAAATGTTTCCAGCATTAAAAAATTAATTTGGATATTTTGCTAGCCCAAACAACCTTATAAGGGAGTAAGTAGTAATATTAACCTGAGGTTATACTGAATTATTTGCACATAAGAGACAAATGACTTTTGGACGTAAAACAACATTCAACACCGTTTTTGCAGTACTCAGAGAAACTGCTGCCGGCATACACTTTATCTCGGTAGGGTTAGAAAGCAACATTGACATCTGTTAATTTCTGTTTTACCATTTCGCCCAATAAAAATATTTGATATTTACTTCTTAGTTACTAAATATGTTTCTTATTAAATGTGAAGGGACATAATATGCCATTGTTAATCTACAAAAAAGGTTTACTTAAGCATCCAAAATGGTTTTATCTGAAAAACATATACCTAAGTACACCATACCATGATATATGTGCCAAACACATCAGTAATCTTAATTATACAGTGATATAAATTTTTGCCCATACTGCCCACTACTATGCCTGAGATATTGTTTTACAATAGTTTAGTAACTAGAGTAGAAAACCTATTTTTCCATATTTGTAACAATTTTACCATTAACAAAATTACATATAAGCACTCAAAACGTGTGTCAGTTTACTAGTTATTTTGGATAGTAAATCAAATTAATATATTTGCAATGTAGACATCACGACCCCTATCACTACTGTAAAGAGATCCAAGTTGGGAAGTTTCACTACAATTAACTATTTCACATCAAATCTGAATGAACATCCTGAATGACTTGAATTGCATCTCAACAACTGAACTATGCTGAAATGTTGAAATCCCTTTTAATTGTGCTTAATTGTGCTAAAACTCGCTCTGAATGTAATGATTTTTTTACTATGTGAATGCAGCCAGGCAGACATTACCAGAGTCCAGAGGACATAGATGGTAAAGAGAGCGATGGTGAGCGCGATAAGGCCCACTGCCTCCAGGCGGCTGTTGAAGTGCAGGTGGTCCTGAGCCCCCCGCAGACACAGCCACCCCGAGATGGCTGCCAGGGGTGTTATGAAAAGGAAGCACACCATGTCACAGAAGAGGGTGCGCTTCTCATTCCTCGGCCCTGGATCCCTGAGCCACTATAGAGACACAGGTGATAAAGTTTAAGAAAAAAATAAAACCATTAAATAAACACTACAAATTGTTTAAGTTAGTTCTTCTCAGTTCAAATTCTAGGAACCCAATAATCTGAAGCTCAACTAAGATCAGGTAAAACCCTTCACAAGTTAAGCCATGAATTACTCAAAAATATGCGTTTATTTAAGGACTGTGTTGCTGCATCAAGGCAGTCCTGTCTTTCCTAATTTAGATCCTCATTGTTCCCTAAGCTACCATCTTTTAAAGGACCTATATCATGAAGTTGAACATTGGTGTTTTTATACGGTTTATTAAATGCTAATAATCCATTTATCACAGCAGAGAGACGCTGTCATCGGCTTACTTGTCAATCACTGTGCAGAACTGTACATGGATATGAAATGTCCAACATTCAGACCGTTCACAAATAACACCATTATTTCTCTTTCTGGACCCTTCTGACTGTAGTTCTCACTGTCAGTACAGATAGTGAGAGTCTTGTATGCTTGTAAGTCAGAGACATAGAGTATACAGGATTTTTTTTGGTTTTTCTAAAATATTCGCATACATGGCACTTCTCTCACACACTGAATTAGCTTCACAGGCATTTTGTTCTCATTTCCAGCGACATATGAGCTGACGTGTTTTTATATGGTTTATTAAATGCTAATAATCCTTTATCGCAGTAGAGGCATTGTCATTGGCTTACCTGTCAATCACTGTGGACAACCGATTACATCACCCTATCACACACGTCTAATGTAAACAAAACATACCCTTAACTCCTCAGCTGCAAAACTATCTCAATTATTGCTTTGTCATAGATTGTTTCGTCAGCAGTTTAGTTTTGCCCATTTACAAGTTATAAGGTGTGTTTCAGCCTAGAGTGCTTTCTGAATGAGTCACTACACAGGGCAGCCAATCAGAACAGAGCCCAGTTACATATTTTAATCTTAAAGGCACAGTAACAGAACTAAATAGCTTGTTTAATTCTAAGAGATAAAGACTGGTTGGAAAATTGTCCTGTAAAAATAAATTATGCTACACAAAAAATGCAAACAAATGCAATAAGCAGACCCCTTTAAAAAGAAATTTAACAAAGCGCCCTTTGTTCAATCCACAGAAGATACTTTATCTCCTCACTTTATCTCCTCACAAAAATCTGCACCCAAGGGGGGAATATTTATATCGTTCAATACCATGGGTTTCTGCTTTTTATTTATGTTTATGAGAAGTGACTACTGAGAATAGGCAGTCTGGAACTGACAAGTTTATATGTCAATGAAGCATTGTTTAAATAAAACTACCTAAGTTTAAAATCTGAAACATAAGTATAAAACAATAACAACCAATATTAATTGTTATGGGACTTTTTAGCCCCTTACAATTGGTATCGACATCTGCCACAAAATCAGCTAGGATGTGCAATTCGGCCTTGTGTTTAGTGCCATTCTGTTCAATTCTGAATAACAGTATCACATTGCATGACTGGGCTGATCACATATATTACGACAACTAAGAATAGCTTGTACAAACCAACCGCAGCTTAGGTAGAAAGAGAAAGATGCCAACACACAATAGCACTACACCCAAACACGCACCCAAGGAGAACAGTCAGGCAGAAGCCATGCAGACGAAGGCGAAAGGCATTGACCTTTGTTACCTCTGTGAGGGGCCTGGGCCTGCGCTCGATGGTGAACTCTGTGTGGCACAGCTCACAATAGCTAGTGTTTGAGGAGGACAGCCACTTCTCCAGGCAGCTCTTGTGCACTGTGCCCAGAGTCCCTGTGCAGTCACACGGTGAAAGGAGCCCTTCGCTGTTGCCCCCCTCGTGGCAGATCCGACAAATCGGCCCATCACTGAGAACAATGGAAGAGCAGCTTTTCCTTAGTCACTTCAGGAAGTGTTTTTTATTGTTGTTTGTTTTTGTTTTTTTTGCTGGTACCACTGATTTAGAGTTTTCAGTTCCAATTATGATCTAAGAAACAAACTTAATCTAGGTAGTTATGGTCTAATCTAACATTAGATTTAAATCCCCGTTCAGCTTACTTTCCTCACTTTTGAAGAAACGTCTCTAGTGGTCACAGATTTAGTTAGATATACTTCAGCACATTGCTAAAAGCATTGTTAACAGCTACAATGTGGCAATAATAATACAATAACAAGCAATTAAAACTAATTTAACCTCTTTGGTGGGACTGCATTTCAAATTCCTTCACTTTTCCTTTATACACCCAACGCATCGCTGATCAGACAAAGTGCAAAAGGCCATTCAGCTGACCTCTGTGTGCCCAGGGCTTTGATGACTGTCGACAGCAGGCGTCCATCTTTGGCCGTGACCTGGGTGACGTACTGCGCCCGGCGATTGTCCGACTCCTCCACAGTTTTGGACAGGGCAGCGTTGCCAGTGCAGTCGCACAGCGAACCTGGGAGGTGGCAACACTCCCCTGTGGTCATGTCTGATCCGTCCAGGGGGGCAGGGGACAGGGGAGTGCAGGGGGAAAGGGGGAGCAACGTCCGCTCCCACAGCTCAACTCACCTGGATCCCACTACTGCAGACAAGAGGACCAGAGACAAAGAGGAGAGTACAGAACTGTACATGAATATGAAATATCCAACATTCAGGCAGTTCACAAATAACACCATTATTTCTCTTTCTGGACTCTTCTGACTGTAGTTCTCACTGTCAGTACAGATAGTGAGAGTCTTGTATGCTTGTAAGTCAGAGACATAGAGTATACAGGATTTTTTTTGGTTTTTCTAAAATATTCGCATACATGGCACTTCTCTCACACACTGAATTAGCTTCACAGGCATTTTGTTTTCATTTCCAGTGACATATGAGCTGACGAGCTGACTTTATTGCTTAACAATCACCTCTAATGTGTCTCTAATGTATGTAAAATAGGTACATACTGTATAAGCAGCACAGGCTAACGATATCCAATTAGCCTACTAGCAAGTAACAGCCACCAAAACAAGGAAACCGCCGCTAGCATAGCGTTAGCTAATGAAACAGCTAGCTACAGTTCAAACCAGACTGTTTGAATTTTTCGACAAATAAGCAAATGAGAAATCCAGTGAAGCTTTACAAAACCATATGGGGACTTAAACGTGGATGTCAGACACAACAACACGCTGTCAGGTTAAATATTTTCACGTTAGACGTCTGGATAGCCGGCTCCTGCTAACCAGGTTAGCATAATACGCTACCTGATGCGATAGACTACACTCTATAACAGCTTATAATAACCGCGTGCGCTCACCTGTTGTAATTTCATATTGAGGTATCGTCTCAGTGGGTTAATTCCGAAAAAATACGACAACTGTGGGGTGAAAATCGAAAACAGTTACTCTTGTTGTGGCCCCAGACTCGCTCTTTTCAGCTGACAGACGACTGTGGCCTCCTATCGACGTTTTACCGATTGCGCTGTTTACGCTACGAGCGTAGAGAGCGAAGCTTTCCGTGAGGCACAGCGCAAGCAGTTTCGCAAAAGCCGTTTGTGAATATCCGCGCAGGAATTGCAGCGTCTATTCCCATCAATGAGAAGTGGACACTGTAGTCTTCTGCCTCATGCAGTAGTGTTGTTTGCACAACCTTTTAAATACTTTCATTTTTATTTTACTTACGTATGTTCTTTGTAACTTGGCAATAAAACTAGACTCTAACTACACAGAGGATATAAAAGTGGCGTTGTTATGCCTAAAGGGGAATTCCACTAATTTTTCAAAATTTCCGAATAACTAATTCTTGAGATGTAAACAGAGTCATTCAGAGTGGTTTGATGTGAAACAGTTCATCATAGAGAAACTTGCAGACTGATTTCTTTACAGTGGTGGTGATAGGAACCAGGGGTCACCATGTCCACAACACAAATAAAGCCACTTTTTTATTTACTATCCAAAATGACCATTGAATCTACACGTGTCTTCTGAGTTGTGTAATGTTAATGGTAGTAAAATAGTGGAAATCTGGAAAATGTTTTGTTGGGGCCTACTTCAGGCAGCATGTATATAACCATTACATGAGGGAGATCTTAGAGCTTTTAGATGCATCACACTTCTCAGATGTCTGATTCCTATCACAACTGTGAACAGTTCTGACTTGGTGAGTTTCTCTAAAATGGAGCATTTCACACCAAACCACTCTGAATGACTTCATTTACATCTCAACCATTTAATTATGTCGAATTTTTGAAAAATCAGTGGAGTTCCCCTTAATACTTCATGATGTTTTCTCTGTGTGCTCAAGGTTGGGAAAGAAAGAGAACACTTTCATTCATTACTTTTTTCTTTAAAGGTAAAACATCTTTAAATGTTTCAATGCTTCAAATCAAACATCACATTCCATTAGTGCAACTATTTATTACTCCACACTATCAGAATAGTCATCTCCGCAGCTGCTTCTAATGTAAGTAGCTTAAGCTAATCAGGATGTAGGCAAGATGAAATGAATGTGATATTAGAGAGTAAATTGTTTTGCTGATGTAACTTGGGATAAAAGTAACTTCTGTAACTAAAAGGCTGCAACTGAATAAATATCAAAGAATAAATGTATTCTATTAAAATTAGCCCTGATGTTAAAATTGTCCAGAACAGAAATATTCAAATCTGCCTTTTTCTTGAAGAAGCTAGATAAAGAGTAAAGAATCAGTTATGTGCTTTTTATTACAATTATACTGAAGAACAGGGTGAACTTCCCTTTCTATTCTTTAACTTAGCTTTACTGTGTGATTAATAGTGTGTATGATTGTTAGTCGTCCTGTTTTAACATTTGAACTACTATTTCTCTTATGCCATGTGCCATGTGACTCAATGTAACGGAATGAGCTGTTAAATGAACTAACCATCATGGTACTTTAGTAGGACAAAAACCTTGAGAGATATAGAGGAAATATAGAGCTGATATTCACTGATATACAACACAATCTTGATTGGAGTTAACTAACATCTGGTTACCCACCAATTCAAATTTCTACTGGATTCATGCATTGAGATGCAAAGTCATTTAGAGTGGTTTGATGTGAAATGGTTTACTGTAGAGAGACTTGCTCAGATTTCTTTACAGTGGTGTTGATAGGAACCAGGGGTCACAATGCCTACAATGCAAACATATACGCAAACCAATCACTGTACTGAGTACACCCCCTTGTATCTGTACTCACTGTACATTTTATCAGCTCCACTTACTATATAGGAGCACTTTGTAGTTCTACAATTACAGACTGTAGTCCATCTGTTTCTCTGCATATTTTGTTAGCCCCCTTTTACCCTGTTCTTCAATGGTCAGGACCCCCCTGGACCCTCACAGTGCAGGTACTATTTGGGTGGTGGATCATTCTCAGCACTGCAGTGACACTGACGTGGTGGTGGTGTGTTAGTGTGTGTTGCGCTGGTCTGAGTGGATCAGACACAGCAGTGCTGCTAGAGTCTTTAAACCCTGTGTCCACTCACTGTCCACTCTATTAGACACTCCTACAATGTTGGTCCACCTTGTAGATGTGATTCTTTTGGCTAGTGGACTATTCCCAGCCTAGCAGTGAAAATGAGGTGTTAAAAAACACACACTAACACACCACCACGTCAGCGTCACTGCAGTGCTGAGAATGATCCACCCAAATAAAACCTGGTCTGTAGTGGTACTGTGGGGTTCCTGACCACTGAAGAACAAGGTGAACGGGGGCCGGCAAAGTATACAGAGAATACAGTCTGTAATTGTAGAACTATAAACTGCACCTATATGGTAAGTGGAGTTGATACAATGGACAATGAGTGTAGATACAATGTAGATGAACCTAATAAGCACACACACACACACACACACACACACACACACACACACACATATATATATATAGCTTTTACAGGCTTCAGATGTGTGGTTCCTATCACATCAAGCCAATCTGAATGACTTGCTTTATATCTTAATTATTAATGCGTACATTTTGAAAAATTGGCAGAATTCCCTTTTGAATTGCTATTGCATTGTTGCGCTAAACAAATACTGAATCTACTTCTTTCAAATGTGTAAATCTACACATATATTACACAAAATATCACATCAACACAATTCTTTTCACATTTAAACTAAAAGACAAAATTGTGTTGAAGTACATTTATGTGTAGAGTTTATTTAGAGATGCACCAATGTGAGAATTCTAGCAACATCTGATACTGTTCATTCATACACATTTATAAAATATATATATATATATATATATATATATATATATATATATATATATATATATATATATATAGGTCTTAATCTATTTGGATTATGATTATAGAGAAATGTAACATTTATTTTACTAGCTCTGACCATGCCTTTAAGATACGACCATAGTATGAAAAGACTGTACGACTGTAGGAGGGAAGAGAACTCCTAGCAGGCCAGATCTTTTTGATGAACCAGTGCAGGACTGAGCTAAATCTTTGTCACAGGAAACAAAAGGCAGCAATGGGAATTCAAAGGATGTTAGATTAAAAGCAGGAGGAGCTTCAGGCTTAGTCCTCCTCCCATACTTCAGTTATTTCATAACTTAATTTCTATAAGATTACAAATGCAGCATCATGAATAAAGTGCAGACATTTCTAGCACAGTCACTCTGAAATATCAGTCTACTGCAATCTGCCCAATGCTGTTAATGTTTTGTAATGTGATAAATATGATTCTGATCTCATTTTGGATTCCTAATTTTATTCATGTGGAAACAATGTACATTGAAGATTAAAATGCACCACATTTTTCATTGTAACTCAGAGGGACCAAGTCAAAAAAAAAACAAAACAAAAAAAAAACGTAAAAGTATTAACAATAAAACTCATGACAGTAATTTGGTTTATTTTTCATCCCAATGTAACTTGATAAAAGGCAAAACAGCTAATGTGACTTCATGGATGTGTCAATGTCATAACCACGCTTCAGTAAAGGCATTTTTATCACAGTATGGGAAAACATAAGGCATTTTCAAACTAACCACACAAATGTTATCACTGAAATTCTAACAAGATTCCAATAACAGTGATACTTTTTTTGCAGACAATTTGACAGACAGCTGACCGGCTTAAACACTGAAATCCCATTGCATTCTTCCTGTTAACAGCCATACTCTAACATAAAAGTGCAAAGACTGGGTTGTGATAAGTGTCACTGGAGTCATTTTTTGTATTCTATAAATTGATCAACATATCGCGCATCTCGTAACTTGCTATAACTGGCGCTCCAAATGCAATGAACAATCATAATATGAGTTCACTCAGATGCTTCCCCCAGTACTGCTCTAAATAGTGCAGGAAATGTTAAAATGTGTTGACTGTGCAGTCTGAAATGTTCACCTTGCTTATTTACTCATATATTTACTTATTTATACAATTGAAAATTGATTGCAGTCTCCCTTTGGTATCTATACGATCCAGACAGGTTTCTTAACCAGCTGTTTCTGCAGAACATGCCCATCTCAGCCAAAGTTAAACTAGCATAGATCCCTTTCTGGGACCTGGCTGAATAAACGCCATGCTTAGTGTAGGAGAGGAGACTCCTCAGAGCGGCTGGAAGCTCAGGACACACTGATCCCTCACCATCCCTTTCCTTAGGAGCGGGTCACACGATCAGTGCCCAAACAATTACTTCTGAATACAAATTCTACATTTTTTCTCCAAGTAGACATGAATTCAGACAGAGAAGAGAGGGAAAAAAAACACAAAAAAACAAACAAAAGACCAGATAAAAAGGAAAAGAAAAAAAGGAATGTTATCTAGAACTTCACAGGACTGGGGAAAATTCTAGAATCGACACGGATACCACATGGAGGTAAAAAGACCGGAGCTAGAGCAGCAGCAGTTGCACAATACACAGGAGCAAAGCGGCGATGAAGAGTGTGAGAGGAACAGAGGAAGAGGCAGAATGAAAAGGGGGAGGGGTGGGGTCACAGGTTCTGGCAGCACTGGAATTTGGTGCCTTTTAGCCCATCGGTAGTAGGCGGCACACTGATGTCCACCACGTTGTTGCCAGGAGACTCATCATGTGCAGACCTGTCTGCAATCTGCTTTTGTGATACAATCCGGTAGATTTCTGGAAAAAAGTAACACTGTGAATTAGTCCTATGAAAAGTTAAACTTCCCCTTTTTCTTAAACACAGTCATTCAGCGAAGACAAGCCTGAATTTGCTTCTTTAGTTGTGCACAGGGACTGCGAGGCTAATGAAGCTAGTAATGAAAGCTTAGCCCTCATCAATTAGCACTGTACAAAGATTGTGCAAAATTTGGAGCCCCCTCCTGCAACGTGCAGAAGAACATTTTCTAACGTTGCCTGTGCTCCGGACCCCCACAAGAGGATGAATCCGAGTGTGTTCCAAGAGTATTTGCAGAAAACTCACTCAAAACTGGTGATGTGAGCGAATTATCTAATATTGTCATCATAGCTTCATCGGCATAATGTTGAACATCAAGTCAGACTTTCTTTTTGAGCCTGTGCGTGTGAAGTTCATAAGTAAAGATTCATGACGTTGTCCGAAAAACTCCCACCAAATCAGTCCTGCTACCTCTGACCTATAAATGATTATTTCATGCTTTACAAAATGACTCACAGCAGCACACACACACACACACACACACACACACACACACACACACACACACACACACACACACACACACACACTTAAGAGTGCTCGTTTTTTCTTTCCATACTCAGTAATGCTGTGTCTTTCAGTTTCAACAAAAAAAAAAAGTTACATAGTGCTGCTGTAAGCCAAGATATT